CTTCCTTCTTTTTCTTATGCATCTTCTTCTCTTCTCTCATGATAATCCTCATACCTAGCTCTTGTACAGTGTGCATCCAATGTTCTCCGACAAGTCTCATTCTTTTTTGCATTACATTGTCATGTTCATCATACCACCCTTTCTGCTGTTTCTTCTCTTCCAGTCCTACAACTTCTTCTGCAACAGCTTTCATTACACTTGCACACTGCTCCCAATCATTAACTTGCAGTCCCTGAAGTGCCCTTTCCAGTTTTTCTTCATATTCTTTGGACACTTGTTTTCCCTTAAATTTTTCCACATACATTTTAGACTGCTGATGTTTTTCCTTATTTTGCATTGAAGATTCTGCAACAATGTTCAGTCAGTCACCATGTTATATGAGGTAGCAAATCCAAGTAGCTTTCTACCATTATCATTATACTCTGTGTGTAAGCCATATTTTCCTATATTTTCATTCTCATCTTCATATGCTACTTTTGCACTGTCACCTAATTTTAGTTTAATATCACTTTTTGGGCACTTCATATACCCTCTCCAGTTCATCATAGAAATCTTTTTCTTTTTTGTTCTCGTCTTCTGTAGAGGCATGAATGCAAATTTAATTATAAAATCTGCCTTTCAAGTGTAATTTACATATTTGCATACTAAGTGGTGCAAAATCCAGTATCAGATGACTAATCCTTTTATTTATCAAGAATCCAGTATAACAAATATGTTTATCTGTGTGACAGCTGTAGTAGAATGCATAATCTTTACTTTCTATACAGCCATTTCCAACCCACTGCACTTCCTGAACAACTGTAATGTCACTTAATACCTTTTAAGTGTATCACTTAAACTTCTTAGAGCACCACTTCTGTAATGCGACAACACATTCCATGTTCCAGTCCTTAAATCGTGCCTTATTCCTGCCGAGTTGTCATTGAAGGTTTATTCTGTTGAATATATTTCTTGGAGGCTTCTCAACAATATTCTTTTTACGGGATGGGGTTGTTAGCCCCACGCCCAACCCCCAACTTGAAGGACCAGGATTTGATTTAAGGGTTTTCTCCTCTAGGAGGGTTGGGTTCACTGCACCCAAGGAGCCCCCTCCTGCCCCTTGGTTTTCTGATGGAGTTTTCCTTCCCTTAGCCTTTAGGTATCCCTCCCCTAACCCACAAAGCAGTTGGGGCAGCTCTTTTTACTGGCGGTGCTTACTTGCCAGGTCACAAGGCCATCTCTGAGCTCCTCTGGTGTTTAATTAATGAAACTGTGCTACTAGTCACCTCCCATGCTCTGATAGCCTTTTTGCCTCAGTTCAGGGAGGATGAAGTTTCCTGTCATTGCCCCTAGCCTACATATCTGTAGGTTGTTCCGCTATCCTCCACCTGTGGACCTGCCCAGTAGCTGAGGCTCGCCCTGAGTTGCATGATGAACACCTACCACACAATAACCATGTCATCATTACCTCTTGATTTGCCGCAGGTTAGTGTTCAGCACAACATTTCTTCTCCTTTGAGGTTTGTTTTTAGTTAAGGTCAGTTATCTTCATTAAACTGCTTACTAGCAGGGTTTTCAGTGTGACTACCAACTTTTGTGTCTATGGAAAACTCCGAAATGATGGTTGAGTGGACTCTTTCTGTTTTTGTATGCACATCTAGGTGCAGTGCCCAGACCATAGTTATGTACACCCATGTAATGCCCTGGAATGGGTACAGGTGGTGTAGACACTCCATTGTGTGCTTAACTGTTGGTCTTCTGTGCTGATATAGTGTGTTACTGCTGACAGGAGCTGCAGTGTAATAAATCACAGGCCCTCTGGAGACGTGCAGGCCTATATTCATCTGATTAGCCTATAGTGGGATGTCAGCAAAAATTCTGATGGTCAGGTTATAATGTCATCTTGACTGTGGTGTGGGGTGTGCTGTTGTGTTTCTTTATCAGTGATATTTGGAAGAGCATCTCTTTAGTATTTTGTGAGATTGGGTTGTGGTGGAGGTCACCACATTGGCAGGAGGGTGGCATCTGCATGCTCATCACATTGCAGTAGTGGAAGCCCAACATGACACCAGATTTGACCATTAGTCCTTTAATGTGAAAATGCTGGCCCCATGTTTCATAACTTCTAGCTGCAAGACACTGAAAAGACCATGTAAAATATTGATCCATTCTTCATGCAGAAGGCACTGGATCGTATTACTGCAAGGTTAAAAATGCATCATGACTGAAGATGCTGATACAGGTTCACAGTAAGAAAGAAGCAGAGGTTCTGTTAAAAGACTTGGGCCCATGCCAAGAGATTCAGTTTGCCCATCATTCTTAACACAGTGCATTGCTTCTGATGCCAGAAATTTGGGAACACTCAACAAAGGTGTGCATGTATTTTTGTCTTTGGTCATTGTGGTGAAAATTGGCATAGTGAGGAACCATGACCCATCCTGCTTCACATTTTTAGTTGTACAATGCATGCATCTGGTGACAGAAAGGGCCCTGTTTTTCTGAACAAAAAGGCAGTTAAAGAACTTAGGGGGAAAGGTAGGCCTCTCTGTTTTAAATGCAAGGAAGAAGTTGAAGAGCAAGCCTGAAACCAGGAATCAGTCTTATGATTCAGTTTGTCGTTTGTGAGGAGTTAAACTTTCATGATTTGCAGTGTATCATTTTGACTATCTTGATGATGGTAGGGCCAGTGGTGGGATGGTTAGTTGTAAGGATTGTTTTCTGTGCCACAGTTAACCACATCTCACTACGGGCCTAAGCAGTTCATTTAAATTTTCTCAGTTTAATATTTATCCCCAGCCAGCAGTACCAACAAAGGTGAATGGAATTGTCTCTATCACAATTACTTCTTTCCTTCATTCTTGGGGATTTCAGCTCCAGAAATATCATGTGGGGACCACTTCTTACCAACATAGGGGGTAGAATAATTTCTGACATGTGCTCGGTTTATTCTGCTTCTCTTACACACGGATGGTAATATGCACTTGTGCCTAGGATCAGGAACCTTTTCTGCCCTGGATCTTACTTCCTGCAGATCAAACCTGGCAGTCCATTTTGAATGGTATTTTTTTCATGATAGTGATCACTATCCTGTAAATGTTCATATCTTCATGTCCATACTTTATCGTTGAACATTCTTATTGGAGGGTTCTCTAAATTATTAGCAGTATTGATCAAACCCTCAGTCCTATCCTCACCTTGCTCTCAGTCATACCCTTAGTTTCATCTCTTGCAGGGCAGTTGGCAGGTCTTGGAATAATGCATTTTTAATTTTAAGTTGGATATAAGAAAATAAAAGTGAAGCAAAACTGATCATATTGGTGTTGATGGATGAATATGGAGAAGCGAAATGATAGATTACCAGAGGAAAATTTAATAACTCGGAGAATAACTTGCTCTGGTGCTACTTTGTTTACCACAAATCTCACTTTGATTCATGTGTGTCACTGTGGTGAGAATCCAGTGTTCAGCTGCCTGAGCTTTTGCTTGGCCTGACTTTTATTAACCCATCAGGTTTACTTTTTAGCAAAGATGGCCTGTTTCTTCTTTCTAATGGAATGGTAAAATATGTCAGACATTTGTTCAGTAGTTCTTGTTTTCTAATCAGGACACAAGCCAGACTTTACACCACCTACTAATGGCATTACAAACAATGTTAACCATTGATAATGCATATGAATGCAGGTGATAACTAAACAGATTTTGATATTCAGGTTGTTTACTGCCTGAGATGAGAATTTCTGTGGCACAATCATTGTTGAGCTGGGAACTTCTTTAGGGGGGGGATGGAATACACCAAATGTAAATTACTCTTGAAAATAATTGGCACTATGGTGGACAGTCATCTGGGATTTGTCAGGCTCTTCTAACCTTTATTGTACCCTTTTAAATCACCAGTGTGCAACTCAGCTTGACTGAGTTCTAGTTAGTGATACCAAAGCTTGTGGCCAGTTAACTTGCCATATACATCTATGAACTTGACATACAGTGGCCAGTATACTGGTTGCAGGTATTTAAAAGGTTAATTAGTATGTAGGTGCAAGTTGCCTTAGAAACTGACGATCCTGTAAACCCAAACACACCCATACTATTACTGGCTCCCAATTTAAATTTGCTGGAAATACCAGCCACCCATGGTGGTATACCAGAGCTACTGGCCCTAATTGACAGGTATGCTAGATCAATTCAATTCCACTAGCTACCTGTGGTATGCCAGAACCACTGGCCCTCAGATAGGTGACCTTTGTAGATAATGTAGGTTTCTCTGGTGAGTCCCTGTCCCTGGTTGTATTAAGCATATTTTAACTAGTAGACAGGTGTTAATAGCCAGAGCAGCTGATGTACCTATGAACCCACCACTACTTCTATGTAGAAGTAGAAGCACTGTTCGCGACTGTAATCTTGAGACTTGCAAGGAATGTAGGAAGTCTGAAGTGTTAAAGGTTGGGCATAGCAGATGCTATCTTTCCTCCTTCACCCCACTTCCTCGCCCCACAAGTCTCAAGATTACAGTCATGAAAAGTAGTAGTACTGCTGCTTTGCTATTTGAAAAATGGTGCTTTATTTCTGGGTTGTGCTGGAACCCGAAGTATTGTTTTCAAAAGACTGGTTCTTCCAACAGTCTTGCTGGAGGGTTTAAGCACTGCACCATTAAAATGTTCTGGAACCACAAAACAAGCTTAATGCCAACAGAAGAGCAAAACAAGTAGTATTTGAAGTTTTCATTGTGGTGAGTCTGAAGATAGCTATCCTCTGGGTTGTAGTACTGTGTAGTCTGGCAGAAGTTTACCACCATTTCAGAGGTCTAGGCTGCCACCTTCATCGGGATGATAAGTCATGACTACATGACACTACAACTCAGAAGACAGCTATCTTTAGAAGAGCAAAACAGCTGACTCATTACACATCATCTCACAGTATAGCTAGTTGCTGCACAAAGGTTCAGATTAAGTAATTTTCAGACCTCTGAAGTGATTGGTTTATGTTTTGATTCACAAATTTCTTTAATCCTTTTTCTGTTTCAGAGGTCTTAATTTGGAGTGGAATTGAGAAGGGACCTCCACGCAAAGAAAAATTTCCTGAACCTCAGACACTTATCAGTGCTTTGAAAGCTGCATTGTAGAAATGTAAGAGAAGGGTGATTTTGATATGCCTTAGGTTGTTTCTAAATTATGACAAGTTGAATACAAAGAATCTTGAATTTTCAGTCAACTTTGATGTTAATAGAATCAGTTTAAGGTTGCATAAATGCCATGCTCTTTCACCATTCAAATAAATGTTTAATTTTTTTTTAATATGTGTATACCAGTCTATGTTGTTGACTTGATTATTTGACTTTCAAGGTATTCCATGTATCAGTTTCATTTATTGGCCCACTCAAGTTACAAGGGACCAATATCAGTTAGTTGTACTTACTAGTACTGTTTTTGTTACCTTCATTGCCAATTCACATCAACCCTTATAGTTACAAATGCTTTCTTTGTTACATTTTAAGTATTTGTTTTAGATGGTTGAGTCTTAATAAATGTCTGATTTAATGATCTTTTAGTTTTAATGATTTTGTTTCTTCTGTCCTAATAAATGTAAATAGGGCATTTACCCTAAAGATTTTGTGTTACATTTCATTATGAAGTACTCTAAAGTATGACTTGGATGTGAGTGTTAGTAGTAACAGGTTTCAATTTCATAAGGATTTTAGTATGTCATTTATTTGCAAGTGTTTGGAATTAGTTATCTCTTGTAACAAGTCACATTGCAGTTGTAAGTTAAGTGGAGATAAAGAATTTTGGAATCAATCGTAGTACTTATGTTACATTTAAAAATGTAACCGTTTTTATAGATTGCAGTCTCACATGTATGTATCTGGGCTCTGTCAATAAATCCGTTTTACAGACGTTCAAGCAGTTTGTGTATACTATACCTTTCATCTCATTTACATACAACTCTGTTCTGTGTTCTAAGTATCTAGTTATATCAGCAGTGAGAGGGTATGGAAGTGGCTAGTTAAAGTGAACATTTTCAAATAAACTTGTAGATTTCATACTAGGGTTATATTCCTGAAAGCAATTGGCCGGATTCACTGTTTAAGTGACTGGTAATCGCTGACACTGCTTATGTCGTCAAAAAATGGATATAGTACTAGATTCAACTGTTGTGGTTTTGTGTTCTGGAAAATAGATGGCGTTGCCATAAACTGTTACCAAAGTTCTTAGATATAAGAAGAGATGACATTTTTAAGATTTCTCATTTCAGTTTAATCAGTCTGCTAGGAATACTTAGTAGGTTGACAGTTTTGTTTCTGTTTTTGTCAGTATGAAACGTTCTGCAGGCAAATTTGACTGAGCATTCTTTTGCTATTTCTGTTTGGTTTCTTTTGTTATTGTAGTAAGTTTTCTCTTCGTCCTACGATCTTTGTATCACTGTTCCTTGGTTTCTGAGCGGACATTTTCTATTTTTGCATCAGTGGATTCTAAGTGTATGGATTTATTTGTGATTAGTTATATAGGATTCTTCCGTTTTAACTTTTTAATACTTTGTTGACGACATATAAAGTGTGTGTATGTATATAGAGTATAAGCGGCAAGAATGTTGTGTCTTTGTGTATGATGGTACTGACTAAAAATAAAATAATCTGTGATAAAAACAGTAGCACAGTTTGTTGATTAGAAGGCTCAAATACAAATAGAACAGTTTTCAGAATGTCTGTTTCAACTACTGGGGGAAAAAGTCACGATAAGCATGACTCAGTTGCGGAAGGTAGGTAGAATTCGGTGAGTGAATTAAGTACCATACTGTTGTGGAGACCAAATGCATCGTAGTAACCCATTTAACTATATGAGGGAAGACTACATTTGATGTGTCAGCTGTCATGTTTGTTTACATCCCAGTATGTAGCTGGAATATTATATTAGCTGCCTCGGGAAGGACATAATGTTACTGTGAACATTACCAATTACGGACATTATGATAAAGGCTATTTTGAAGCTACTGTGTGACAAGCAGGTTAATTAATTTTGTGTTACATTATAACCCCTCATCGTCGTACATTGTTTGCATTATAACGAGATTATGTGGGCTGGAAATGTTCAAATGTTCTTGCAGTAGGTAGTGAAATAATGTAATTATATATTATATACAGTCATGAAATTGAAACCACTGTAGAATGGCTATTTGTTGTATTTCCAAAATTCAGTATCTTTATGTAGGAACTACATTTATGAAGTAATTATGTTCAATAGATTAGAGTAAATTGCTTTAATTAGCATAGAATGAGATACCAAGTCGGATAAGTGAAACAGTCTTTTCCAAAAATACATTATATTTAGTACATTAAATTACTTATTTCTTACAAATGTCTGTGAAGCTACTAATTAATGTGTAATTTAAACTATCCTCTGTCATAATGCTTGGCCTAAATTACATTCCCAGGAAGAACATTCTCAAGTAAGTGGATGTACTGGTTTGTTCTTCTCTATCATGTTACTACTGTAAATGATGGAATTGTGATTGAAGCATATAAGTACTTGTTTGGAATCATCATAAGATTTCCGTTATTATGTAAGATTTGAGGTTTTCACAGCGGTGAGTATGAAGATGTCTGTCTTCTGGGTTGTTGCGCTGTGTAGTCTGGTCGATGTTAACCAACGTTTCAGAGGTCATACTGCCTCCGTCATCAGGGCAATGAATATTATATAGTCTGGTCGATGTTAACCAATGTTTCAGAGGTCATACTGCCTCCGTCATCAGGGCAATGAATATTATATAGTCTGGTCGATGTTAACCAATGTTTCAGAGGTCATACTGCCTCCGTCATCAGGGCAATGAATATTATATAGTCTGGTCGATGTTAACCAATGTTTCAGAGGTCATACTGCCTCCGTCATCAGGGCAATGAATATTATATAGTCTGGTCGATGTTAACCAATGTTTCAGAGGTCATACTGCCTCCGTCATCAGGGCACAACCACCCAGAAGACAGAAATCTTCATTTCCGTTATTATTTAGTAGATGATAATAAGATAAATTATTGTGTAGACTCTCATTCATGAGCAAGGCTACTTTAGCCTTGATTGCAAAAAATTTGTGTCAAAAACACTGCTTGTCTATATGTTTTGGTTAATATTCAGCACTGTTTTTTATTGATTGTCAGAATACATGATGGGATATTCTAACTTCATTTACTTAAAATTACCTCAATTGCATGTTAAACTAGGAAGTGCTATTGAAAGTGCATGCAAGCATGATGTGATAGGAGGATGTGGAAATAATATGAGTAAATTTGCAGATTACATGACCATACACAACTACACATAATACTTATAAGAAGGCGCTTCTTCTTAAATAGGGTAACTTATCATGCACATAGCGTATACTGTTTTGTATGAATCTAAATATTTGTAGCTATTTGTAGCTGTTTCCAAAATGAATACACTTCATATAATCATATGTAGGAAAGGAAATACAGTATTAAAATGTTGGCTTCAAATTGCTGAGGAATATCATATTCTGTGAGGAGTGAAGAATATATGAATTCTGGGAAATGAAAATCTGCTATTTAGGAGATGGAACATTGTGCTTGGCTGTTATTTGAAAATAAATTACACAAAACCATTCTAAGAGTAATGGTAATATTCACATGCTCATTGTTTAAATGAAAATAAAATAATAAAGGATGACAGTTGGCATCATCATTGTTGTACACTACAGTACAAGTGTTGTTGCCACTCTTTTTTTTATTTTGTTTCTCATGCAAGTGGTTGACAGGAGGTGAAGGACTCAACACTGAACTAATACATACTTAAAATTCATAAAGTGAAGTACATAAAATTTAAAGATCTCAAGTTTTTAACTCCCATATAATTCTCCAAAATTTACATGATACTTTCCTTTCTGGGTTATTTGAACAAAGTGCATAAAATAACTAGGTAATCCTTAGAATAGCTAATTGAGAGAAGGTGCTGTGTAGAATGAAGTTACGATTTCTATATTTTAACTAGGTGAAGAGTGAAAATTTGTTGCTTATACAGCCAATGTTAAGTAAATGCAGCTTAGCTTATTATTTTGACTGTGATTGACCTATAAGATTTGTTGTGAGATTTTGTATATAAACTAACATAGCTAATATGTGAAATACCTAGTGAATACCTAATTGTTTTACATTTTAACTTACCGTAAACAGTTACCTCTTAGAACATGTAGATATTTTATGAAGTACAGTGTAAAATTTTCTTCTTATTTTATAATTTAATTAAACCATTCAGTTACTCTATGAATACCAAAGTATTCTGTGAACTAGCAGAATTACACACTTTATTGGTAACTTTTTTCCAATTAGAATGTGGAAATAACAAGTAAGGTTGGAAATAACTGTCTGTGCAAAACTCCATGGAGCAGAGTCTTTAAGAAATGAATTGTCAAAACATTTACCACCTTTTATGTATCTTGAAAGTTTGTTACAGTATTCACAAAAGCCCTATTTCTTATAGATCATTTTTAATATCCTCCCATCTTGCCTCGGTCTTCCAAGTGGTCCCTCCAATTTTCTCACCAAGTTTTTGTGTGAAGTTCTGTTGCTCTCGTGCATGCTTATCTTATACCTTGATTTTATCACAATAATAATATTTGGGTTATTTGTAATTATAAGTGATACATTATTTTGCATTTCTTGGTAGAGAAAGGAATTGGTTAGGGTTGTGCAGAATTTGTATATCAGACATTAATTACATGTTTATTGTAGAGGGTAATAGTCATTTTCTGTATATGAAAGTACATAGTGATTACTGATTGAAATTTGGAGTGTGTAGAATTATTGTGGAAGGCATTTTGTTTTTCTGGTGAACAATTGTGTTTCAGGAAAGTGACTGAAAGTAAGATGGACTTATTAGATAAAAAAGGTGTGGTAATTCAATAAAACAAATGAGGCTGTAGTTTTTCATAATAGATAAAAGTTTACCTTTAGGGTAACAAAATGAGGGTTCATTGAGACAGTTCATTTGCAGCAAAGAAAGAACTGTGACTGGCAGTATACTGGAATTTTGATGTTTTGTCGTGGAGAGACACCAACCTGATGAAACATGAATGAATGAGGGATAACCAAGAAGAAAAAAGAAAGAAAGAAGTGATAGGAATGTTATTCACTGGCCCTTAGAGTGCTTCACATTCAATTAAGTAGCATGCCTTCTGTAAACAAATTACCTTCTGCTATGAAGGAAACAGTAAAATTCTGTTGACAGTAACATGTTCTTAGAAATGCCATGCGAGATATGGGTTTTGGTATGAGCATGAGGATTCAGGTAGAAAGACCAGAACTCTGATCATTTTATTAAAATGAAAGAGATGAGCAGCCCTGAAGATGGAGACAGTATGTTTCTTCAAAATGTTGGTACCTGCCTACAAGTCCACATATTACAATCCAGAATATTATCATCAACAATGTGAAACAAGTTTTAATAGGATAATTTAATTAATGAGTGGGAACAAAGTCATTGTGGCTTCTTGAAAAGCCTTTGAGAGTCAGTTTAATTTACATTTGGTCCTGCAGATTTGTTTTCCCTCTGAAGTGCCAAGCATATTTAATTTATCTTTTCTTTGTAAGGTGAAGGTGCAACTTCAAACAGTGGCTATGCTGCCTTATGGTACACAGAGTATCAGCACTTTTCATAAAATATATGTATATGTTGCAGATGCATATCTGTTGGTAAAAATGAGGGAATAACAGAAGGAGACAGGATAAATGTTTAGTGTAGCTTGTTTTAAAAATGTGCTGTTTATTGCCATTATACCAGAGGAGGTGCTTGTGCATTAAAAGAAGTAATATAGTTCCCATCAGCGAGCACACAAGAAAGGAACAGATTTGTTACCCAACAGTCCTGAGGATGAGAGCAGAGATTGTTCTCGAAAC